GCGTTCGCGTGGAAAGTTCCCATTTGGCGAGATTTTTTGCGACCTCTTCAACATTTGTCGCCGTATTTCAGCTAATTTACATAAAAGCATAATAAATTATATACCTAAACCTTCCTCAAGAATTACTCTTTCTATTGTTGAAAACCGTATAAAAATCCGTTCAGTAGTTTTCGAGTTTATCGCGTACAGACAGACAGGAGGACAGACAGGAGGACAGAAAGACGCGGCCGGGGGACTTATTTTTATAATAAGTATAGATTATAATAAATAAAAGTATGTTTGTTTCATGTCTTGCTACTTTGTTTTTCTATTGTGTAGAAACGTAGCAAAACTTGGATGTTTTGGATAAAGACAGCTTAGGCTTCGGAGAGTGACATAGCTCCTACTATTCTTCGATACAATTTAGATTCCGCCAAATTAGTCTTTTATAAGAGTTTCTTTTGAAAGGAATTTTTGCATCAGGCACGTCGTTTTCTCTGACTACCTCTATACAGATGGTCGGTTAGTTTGAAATAAAATATAAAGTATCTACTTTATGACTTCATAAATACTGGTTTATGGTTTAATGGGTGTTTAAACAAATTTATTGTTATAAACATTTTGATTATTCTATTAAATGTAAACACGCATAACATAATATATCTTATATCATATATGTATAAATTTTCACTTGTTTTTTGCTAAATTACTATACTACACACACTGTTACATTATTTAGTAAATACTCGTAGGAGCTCAGACTAATATCTCTGTCTCTATAACTCTGTGTAAATAATGTATATTATATAGATATCTCACTCTATTATTTATTAGATAGATTTCCCACTCTTTCTGCATGTCCAATCAATTCTGAATACATCTTTCGGTGTTCTTACTTTTAGTGTGCACCCGAATGATCCAGCCCACCTGGACTGTTACCAAGCTTATAATGTCCGTATTTTTTTTGTATGTCCGTTTATCTTTGTTTTTCACAAAATAAATGTTATTAAGTCTGATTTACAAAAAAACAACATAATTAAGGGACTTAAAAATGAAGAGTATTTCAAAAGATTTTAATTTTTTAGCCTTTATATAAAAATTGGCATCAAACTAACTTAAATAGCTTGAGTGAATATTTTATTAAAATACTTTTTTTTTACAAATTTGCTTCTACTACTTTTACACTAAAAATGTAAAAAATAACTGAACAAGGGTCGTCATTTACTATATGTAAATATCGCTATATATGGCTTTGAAAATATGTGATTAAGTATCTACAGTAAATGAAAACTACCATTCAGTTATTAAAATTAGAATTTCATATAAATGAAACATTGCGGATTCAATCATCTAAATTGATTCCACGCAGTTTTTGAAAGATTAAGTTTCTACTTCTACCTTCTTAATTCAATAATAGGTATTTCCCATGACACAATGCCACATCCACGTATTGCTATTATGCAATAGTTATGTAACACGATTAGTACCAACACTATATTGTGTGTGCAAAAGCAAGGTCTCACTGACGGTCTGTCGCTTCACGCTTTATCACAACAGGTAGAGTGCTGTTTCCTCTTAACGTCATCCATTTATGCTAATTATATTTAACAAATTACACTAAATCATTAACTTTAAATGACTGTCTAGAATGGTTCAAAAGACTTATGCCCGATTTCACCAACAACTCATAAGCTACCACCTACGTATGGGATCCCTTTTTTTTCTTTGTTTTCGCTGGGGAAACCCATCATGGGGACCCTACCGCCGTCATGGGCAGGGTACTGTGAGACTCCTACTCACTAAAACCCACAGCGGAACCCTTCGCCGGGGGCGTGCAGGATCGCTTTCGCACTCACTGCAACACCCCTGCAGACGGCCCGTACCAGCTTAAAGTCCCCTAAACTAGCCCCTAAATTAAATTTCGTTTTACGATCGTCTTTAAGCCCATATTTCGAGCACCTAAATTTTGGAGGCTTTTTAATATTTAGGTGACCCCTAACTGTCGGTGAAACAGAAACTGTCCCCTAACAGCCCCCTAACCATGCTTAGAGGATCCCTTAAACTTAGGTGACGTTGGTGAAATCGGGCATTATTCCTTTAAATTATTAAATAAAACTATCTTTTCGGATTATTTCGCGGATTTATTTAGATTTTTGGTTTGGTTAGGGAACCAAAAATCAAAATAAATCCGCGAAATAATCCGAAAAGATAGTTTTATTATATAATGTCAAACATTCGCGTAAATCTAAGAAAATATTATATTCCTTTAAAGGTAGGTTAGACGGACAGGCGAACAGACTAACAGTAATTAGTGATATCATGTGGTCTAATCTGGAAAAAAGTTAAATAGTTCAAATATATACAATTGATGGCGTTTTAATTAATAGCAGTATCGATTGTGTAATAATATTTTTTTTAATATGTAATAGTAAAAATAGATCCTGAAATGCGATTGCGATGCTTGTATGTGTGTAATGTGCGTGTAAGTCTGTTAGTTACACTGAAATGGCTGAACGGATTATACATGCTGCTGTTCCTGTTAGGTAGCTAGGGAAGAACGCAATCGACGCGAGGTCAAGTCGATTATAGTAAACTAGCATTGCCCGCGGCTCCGCCCGCGTTCAGATTTACATATTAGTATACTCTTACAATGCAGATTTTGTATTTTTTCTCAGAAATGAGATATTTTCCCGCAGTAAAAAGTATCCTATATGTTGACTCGGATAACCAGCTACCATCATACTCAATTTCATCAAAATCTGTCCAGTGGTTTCCTCGTGAAGCGGTAACAGACAGACAGACAGACAGACAAAAATTCTAAAAAGTATAGATTCGGACTCTGTATCGATAATAATGTCTATTTCCATTAGATTTTCCAAAAAAATGTTTAATGTACGGATTCGACTTAGTTACAATTTTATTATAGTATGTATAGATAAGTTTGTACTGTCTATTCATAGATGGTATTTTCTAAAATATGTGAATAGTATAGTATAGTAGGTGAATTAGTCGGGAGTGTAAGAACACTAGTTTCAAACAAAAAAAAATCGGTTACTCCGTTCGGGAGTTACGATGCCACAGGCAGACACATACACAGACACGTCAAACTTATAACACCCCGTCGTTTTTGCGTCGGGGGTTAAAAATATGATGACAAACATATGACATCATTCCAATCGCGGGTAGTGGGTATAAGTACCCCAGTTTTTTACAATGCTATCAGCTATGTACCTAATTATTTCCATTTATTTCAATCGTTCAAGCAAATTATTGTTTAATACGTCACGAGGGAACTATTCAATAGTATATTTTTGATAGGTAATAATACAGCTAAACCTGTCCGAAGCACTATCGTCATCAATATAACGTCGAACGAAATATCCGTGCATAAGTGTTAAACAATGCGAAAACATAAATCATTATAATATTTTTATTTTATTCAAATGCTTTAAAGTTTATTTCTAATTTTATATCGTTTACGCAAGTTTACACAAGTTCGTGTGAGATTTTTGTTCATTTTCATCAAATAATTTAAAGCTAATATTACGAATTACCGACACATTATTATTTTAAAAAGAAACGTCATGACGACTAACAAAACTATATTAGATACTCTTACAGAAAATTTGTCTAGGCATATAAATATACAAACATAACGTTTGCGGTCCTTGAAAGTACACATATAGCTGCTTACTAGATAATAAGAAGCGAGGCAAGTTCAATGTCACGATGAGCCGTTTGTGGTTATAATCCGTGCGAACTGCGAACACGGAATCCGACAATAGTTTAGCAATAGCAAAACTATTCGAGAAAACAATAAAAAGTTCCACCATCTCAGTCACGAAGAGTCGTGTGGTAATTGTATTATTGTAACTTTGCCATTGAGAGGCGATGGTAATTATCTATACATTATAAAAGATAAGTCGATTTCCTCTTATTCTACCCTTTATTAATATGTTGGTTGCGTCTCGCAGGCCTCAGTTACTTTTGCGCGTTTATTCTGTTCAGTGACAGTCCACAAAAAATATTCCTTGTTTTTTCTTTTCTTTGTGATTTAATTGGTACATTTGAGTTGAAGTGAATCGATTATAATCTCTTTATTTAAGTCAGTCTCTAACGAAGTAACAAAAAGTACTATTTACCTTTCTTTATAAATAAATATATTATTACAAAACCAATGCTAAAACTAAAGTTTATACTATTATATATTTTTTTAAATAAACGGTAAACAAAACAAACCAAATTAATTATAAAAATTGTATACCTAGTTGCTTCCGAATTCTAAAATCTGAATAATCCTAATACATAGATGTACTATGCTCGTATGTACTCCCCTACTATAATATTATATTGTGTATCTACGAGTATGTCAAAAGTAAGAAATCTTTGCCTTTTAAAGTGTTTTAATTAGCTTGGAAGAGTGAGCTGTTAATAGATTCAAATGAGAATACTATTTGAACAAAGAATGCCGTTACATTTTTACATAGAAAGATAATGAGATTGAAATAACGGTTACCAAATCCATGGTTAGGTCTACACGCGGTTAGTTTCACGTTAAATACGGACTTACGTACACGTTTCCCTTAAAAAGATTTTCGTTTAACTTTCTTTAAGCGCGAAGTTTCTAAATTTTTTTTAAAAGGTAGTATTTTTATCAAAAACAATTTGCTGTAGAATTTTAATGGAATAATAACCGTGACGATATACACTATAATTTGAACAATTTCGTAATAATATTATTAATCACCGGGTAATGATAGTTATTGTTCTATTAAGCGATATTTACCTTTATCATTGATCATTACATCGTCCGCATCAGTGCATTTACATATATTCTAAATGTTCAATTAATGATACCAGTTCTCTGAATATTTAAAGTGGTTTTTTGGTCGATGTATCGCCTACAAGATTTAGTAATCGAAAAAAAATAGTATACGTCTAATAGTATGAAGATATTTAGATATACTGTGTAAAAAATACTGTTATTAGTGTAATAATTGTGTCTTACTAGTATAAATAAGATGGTCACATCTAGGCAAAACAGGATATGTGCATCGCTACTTAGTCAATATGGTAATTTATTTGTTTATTTATTTTTTAAATAATAACAATCTACTAAGCTAAAATTTTGCCCACGTTAAGCTAGAAAAAGAGTTCATGTAGATCCTAGACCATACACAGTAGTTGTCCTCAATACTAAAAATTCCCACATCCCCTGTAATTTTTTTGCCAGAGACCCTCCGCCACAAAACATATTGTGATAGCTTGCTTCCCAATACAAACTTTCACTCCCTTAAGGAATGATTTCCGGACTAAAAATGTACTTCCCAGGGTCTCAAACTATCTTCTTACCAAATTTTATCTAAATCGGTTCAGTGGATCCATAGATTACCTCGTACAATCTCACAAACTTTACCTCTTTATATTATTAGTATAGACATCGTTTGATTGACTATGAAAAAGTAATAAATAAACAGTGAGACAGACACCGACTGTGTATGTTAGTCATTTTTATTATAATTGCTCTAAATAAATAGTTACTATTTTATTAGTCTATTAAAAACATAGTACCAGTATGATACATAGTATAATATCGTTGAGTTATTATTTAACTAAAACTTTCTATGCCTTTTCTCATTGACATAAATCCATTCTGATATATATATATATATATATATATATATATATATATATATATATATATTTTTATTGCTTTGAAAATATTATTGGTTCAATGGCCTAAATGAAAATTGCTTATAATATATTTCAGATCCTTACCTATTGGATATATACAAGACTGAAATGGGGTACGGTATAGAGCGGTTTTTCCTGCTTTCGTACTGCTTAGCATGTTGCTGGCCAGGGTTGGTTGCGAAGAGTTCCCTTAGAGTCGTCAAGGAATGGCCAGAGTTGGATTTTGTGTTTCCAAGCGATGCGGACCGCCAAGTTGCTATAGACAAACGCTACTATGTTCCCGGAAATTCGGTACCCATTGATGTAGATGTGCACCATAGAAACAGTACGTTGTATTTGTTTTTGTTTGTTTATTTATCAAAATTTCTATTACACAGGTACAGTAATACCTAAACCTAACAGTTTAATTTCAAAAATTTCTCAGTTTAAAGATTTCTGTAAATGTCCAAAGAAACGTTTTAATATACTTAGTGTTACCCAGCGTTGTTGTTTCTGTATACGTCATTTTCTGTATATTTTATGTCAAGTGCAATAAATCTTAACCTACATATAACAAAATTGTAACCAAGCCAAGCCTGTACATTGAATATTTTTTGGAAAATCTTATTGAAATAGACATTATTATCGATACAGAGGCCGAATCTAGTTTTTAAAATTTTGGTGTCTGTCTGTCTGTGACCGCATAACGGAAAAACCACTGGAGGGATTTGGATGAAGTTTGGTATGATGATAGGTGTTTATCCGGGTCAACATATAGGATACTTTTTATAGCGGGAAAATATCTCATTTCTGAGAAAAAATATAAAAACTGCAATGTAAGAGTATAATAATATGTAAAACCTAAGTATTTGGATTTCGGTCCTCTGAACGCGGGCGGAGCCGCGGGCAATGCTAGTGTCGTTTAACGCGTGTCAATAGATATGCACCTACGGATAAAATATTATCTACATATTTCGATGCGGGTAGTACATCATTATTTTTTGTAGATCTCGGAATACTAGAATAGACATCGTGACAATATAGTTATACTTATACTATTATAATTCTTTATTTATAAAATAATTCAAGACAATGTACATTCTAATAAAAATATTCATAATACTCTTAAAGACACAGGGGAAGTACGAAAATGATGTTTTATTTGTGCATTAGGTAATTTGTAATGTTCGTTTGTTTTTAAGGTCCAGAAAAGTCGCGAATTTTCGTGACAATACCTCGTTTCGACGAGGGTCGCCCTATGACTCTGGGAACGGTTACTGACCAAAATTTAATCACCGCCTATCCGGACTACACCTGGCATGACAATCAAGGACATAATTGTGATGGATTAACATCTGTATTCAGAGTCGCTGTGAGTATATTTTGGATTTTTTTTGCTTTCATAGCTTAATAGTTTTTATTTCAATAGTAGATAGTGTTAGTTCGAGCTCTTCCAGTCCTATGATCATATTTGTTAAGAATTAATTGCTCACAGAGTATTTATTACCTTCTTTACATCATCGCACAAAAGTAATATTTTGTTAATGGTTCCTTGTGTAATAAAAAGAAATTTCTATAAAAGTTTAATCGTTATGAAATCCAGGGCCGGATTTAGAATTGTGGTGATCCTTAGGTAACAAAGGAGTTGAAGCCCTAAAGAAGTTTTCTATTTCTTAAACGTAAAATATTGCATTGCATAATAGCTTGCAGATAATATGTAATTTTGACGTTATAAGGAGAAAGATACAATAAATATATAGTACGACAAAAGTAAATTCATTGATCATTTAGTAAAAGTAACAACTACATATTGTTATTGTGCAGCCCGGGACTGCAAGTCTGGTTGCCATCTAAATCTGACTTTGATTAAGTAATAATAAAAGTGTTGTCAAAGCTGTGATTTACCTTTTTATGCCTTGAATCGTATTTATCTAACTTCAAATTTAGCCAGTCACTTAAATGCACGTAGAGAGTGTAGTTAAAGACTAGTATTTCATATTAAAGGTATTATTTACTATGTAACTTGTGAATAGAAATGTGATAATTAAGTGTTACAAACTAAATTGTTACATGTGCTCTAAATCTAATACTATTCTCTAAATTTCAGATAGATAAGTGCAATCGTCTATGGGTCATGGATGCAGGGAAGATAGGGGATAAAGCTGTGTGTCCTGCGCAGCTCCTTGCTTTTGACTTGAATACCGATCGGCTTATATACCGACACCGACCAGGCGCTAACGGCTTTATAGCAACATCGTTGTTCATTAATCCAGTAAGGGTTCAATCTAATTAACTTGCATTAGTTCAGATATTCATATATATTTCCACAAATAATTAAATTCAAAGTGTTAATTTGCTCTTTTGAGTTTTATTATGCTTATTGACAATATTGTATATTTCTTTTATACGTTAAAAACATCAACAACTTACCATATGTAAAAATATGATTTGTGATATTACGATATTCTTCTTCATAGAAAAATCTATGCAAAAGTGTCGAAGTCGAAAAATACGAAAGAGAGCGCACTTCAGTAATATTTTTTGCGGGATATCTATTTGTTATTTACAATATATTTTTAACGAATCTACTGGGCGCTTAAAGTTAGGTATATAGAACGTTTATAGAGTTAGGCGATGCCAGAGTCGACGTATAGGTACTTTAATATTGTTTAACTTTAAAAATAAAATATGTATGTGGTGTAAAAAAATAAAAAAATGTTAAGAAGGGTTACGTTACAGGGTTAAGGGCTCTACTTATTTATTTCTCATATTTAGGTATATAAGTACTCTAGACCAGCTGTGTTTGACTGTATTTTTTTTGTGTCTCAATAATGATCAGATAACACGTGAAATAGGTATCAGAAAAAAATCCAATCGTTTGAAAATATTTTCATTAATATGAATAATGTGCCTAACTATATCAAAATTAGTGCCATTTTAACGGTAAATACCTATAGGCACGGTATCACAGACCAACTGTAAAATTTAAAGGTCATTTAAGAGATTTGAAATGAAATGTCTTATAATTATAATTAGAGGAAGGACAAGTAAAAGAAATATATTTTATTTATAGACAATCTCTATTATTTGTGTTCAAAGTGTTATTGTATTGACTAATCTATTTAAATACAGACTTTTAAACTTTTAATATGATAATATGCTATTTTCAATCACATTTTTGTAAAAGTTTATATTTTTATTATTTAAGGTGGTAGATGTGCGAGGCGAAGGGCCATATGATTGCGCTGACACGTTCGTGTATGTGGCGGATGTTTCTGGCTTCGGACTGTTAGTAGTCGATGTGGCCAACGACCGCTCCTGGAGAGTTACTCACCGCTTTATGTATCCATACCCCTCACGAGGCACTTTTACTATTGACGGTAAATTTTTAATAATATGAGTAACTATTATGAAGAAGCTAAAAATATAAAAGTTATTTAAAAGCTAATTCTAATCATTTCTAAGCCACCATCTTGGCATAATTAAAAAAAGTAAATGCGGTAAAAGTTTTTGCGCAGTCAGATTTGTTTATATATAGGTTGCTTGCTTAAAAATATTTAAAAATAAGATTTTTGATTAAAGTTCATCTTAATTATTATAATCGTCTCTTTAATTATCTACATGTTAGTAAATTGACATAATTATATAATTATTTGCCTTCCACTATTTAAGAAATACATAAAAACTGCTATTGCGTGTTCCAAGTTAAACAATAAGACATTATAATAATGTAAAAGTTACAAAGTAAATACAATAAATCTCGTTGTTTAAGTAAGCGTTGAACCATTTTATGAATACTTAACTGGTTATTTTTTCAAAGGTGAAAGCTTCGATCTTATGGATGGTATGTTTGCTTTGGCGCTCTCTCCGTACGTACCTGGTCAGGATCGCTTCTTATATTTCCACGCCTTAGCGTCCACTACAGAAAATGTAGTACGCACCAGTGTCATCAGGAATGACTCATTCATTACCGATTCCAACGCGAACCCCTTCTCTATCAACGTGAGTATAACGATACGTTTTAGTTTCCTTTGTCGAATTGCATTAATTTAAAAATGTAATAATATATTAATTTAAAATCTAATCCAAAAAAAGATGGGGTCACCAAATGCTGTCGACGACCTCAAAAATAAATAGGCATCTACTTTCAGTCAGCTTATTGTTAACGCTCGTGCTTGAAAAGCCAGTAAAGCATGTTCAAAGCCCGGGTTTCGCACCTATCTTCATGTGTAAATTATTCGTATATCTGAGAGAATCTAACAAGTTCTCGACATATGTGAGATCCAAGCCTGTATTTGGCCAGTAGGACTAAACCCCTTACATTGAGAGGTGTCCCTTTACGTTGATAGTTTGTACTTACTTTTCATCTTGTTGGATTTTAGATGAATTAAATGCATATTAAATTAAACTTTATTATAAATTTAAAGTTAATTCATTTAATAAATCGATCCAATTTTCTTAAATTTCTTTTTTCCTCATTTTACGTGAGACTCTAATAAAATTTGTTAATTAATAATTTAAAGTAAAATCCCGTAATACTTTTCACCGTCCATATACGTATCTACTAATATAATATGATGCAGTTACGAACTATTAATGCGATTTTCTTGAAACTTTATTGTATTAATATTTAAAAAAAAAACAATTATTCCGAATAATTATTTCTACAAATATTATGGCAAAAATTTGAAAATACGTGTATTAAATTAGTGTATTAATAAGTTAAACTCTACATACGGATCTAGCTCATAACCTCTTTTTTGAAGGTGTTTATTTATTTTAATATTAATATACTAATTACTGTATTTCTATTACTGTAATATTATAAAGAGAAAATATTTTTGTTTTATTTGTACCGAATAAATTTCGGAACTACTGAACAGATTTTGATGACATTTTTTAACACCCTGGAAAGGACATAAAAGTTTTTATTCCGGAAATCATTCCTTAAGGGGGTGGAAATGGGGACGAAAGTGTGTATGGGGAAGCAACCTAGAGAAGAACCCGAGCGAAGCGAAGGTGATTCGTTAGTAAAGTATATTATCGTCAGAAAATAAGGTTCCCATACATATTATTCAAACTCTTACAATATTATATTAAGGATATTTTAATAAGTTTTTTTTTTTCACAGGTTTTTCCTGAAGAAAGGCCAAATCAATCAGCAGCCGAAGCTATTGATGATAATGGCATTATGTACTTTGGACTTAATGAACCTCCAGGCATCTGGTGCTGGAATACGGGAACCGAATTTTCCCCGCGTAATTTCCATCAAATTGCTATCGACAAAGAAACACTTCAATTTGCAAGCGGAATGAAAGTTGTAAATAATCTAAGTGGTTCACAAGAGCTTTGGATTTTAACATCAAGTTTCCAAAGGGTGATGACCGGATCACTAAGCTCTGATAGAGTTAATTTCAGAATACATGCTGAAAATATACCACAGTTGCTTAAAAATTCAGCTTGCATGTCGCCACCAAAGAACAAATATGGTTACCACGCTGATCGAATTTCACCCAACATACCAAAACGAACATACAAATACGGTGCTGTAGCCTTCCTAAAGTGAAGTCAAACTTGCGTAGTATAAACATGGCCATAATAATTATTAAATGCATCTAAATAAGATTTTACTTAAGTATATTAATTATTATCATTAATTTGTCTCTTATTTCTACATAATCCTATAATCCTAATATTTCTGAATTGGTGATATAAAGCTCTTTTTAATTATATGAAAGAATCTTCAAGAGGATAAATTAGTTTAACATGGGCATTTTATTTATTAGCAAAATTACACAGCTTGTTTCAAAATATCAGTGTACATTTGGATTTTTCGCGCAATGCTCAAATCGATGTGCTTATCTTCCACCCCAACGATTACACCTCCAATGATTGCGGGATCAACTTTCTCTGTCAATTGTATATTTTTGTTTCCTTTGACAAACTTTTTCAATGCATCCATCAATACTTTACGTGATGCATCGTCAAGCGGTTTCGCAGTTATCACTTCGCATAAAGCCTCGTTTCTATGGGCCACCATTATTGCAAGGAACGTATTTATCATACGTCTTAATAGTTTCAAACGGCCATTCTCGGCAACAACAACCAAAAAATTAATAGCTACTGGAGGCATTCCTAAAATAAATCACCATCATGAGAGAATAGGTACCAAAGCTAGCGAACATTTATTGTTTTTTTCTTAAACAGTACCAACTACACCATTCTTTTGAAATAAATATAATAATATAAACTTCCTCATTTTACCCTTGTCATTTATTATACAATTATTAGTGAAGATATTGCTTAAAATACGATAGAGATCCCCAATCAAAGTCGGTCAATTAATAACAATTATTCTTATTTACCTGTTTTTTCCCCAACTTCCTTTAATAATTTTGCCTTTTTTGCTGATGAAACCATACTTGTCTCTAAAAAGTCGATTACATTTGGCTTAATCAATTCTTTTTGCAGAGAACGCATATGCTTCTCTACCTCATCAATTTGCTTCATTTTGAGCGCTGCACTATATAAAGCAGCAACATATCGACCTCCAATCCCTAATATATTATTTTCTTTTATATAGGTATATCTAATTGTCGATCTTTAGATCTAAATGTCTTTACCAAAAGAATTATGTATCTTACCAAATACTGGCACGGGTGTATTTATAGACTTAACTGCAGTACACATCGTTCTTATGAATATGCGCGACATTGCTATTTATTTTTGACACGTATTGTAGGTGCTTATTATTTTGAAAACCTCATGTAATGAATTATGTCATAGATCAAATGTATGAAAATGACTAAAAAAACATACTTATTCACTAATAAGGTATTAATGCAAAATTAAATGTTACCATTAATTTATTAAGTAACATGTTCATGGAGAAATTTAAGTTCAATCAAGTTAAATTATACTTATTATATTATGTATTATATAAAACTCTAAAAATGTTCTATAAAATTATATAAGAACGTCATATTGAAACGCTTGATCAGTTTCCAATAGTGCTCGCACGTACATTGCAAGAGAACCCAAAGCCATGGCAGATGTTAAGGAATTACAACTTCCACCCTCAAATGAAGCCGCTTTCTTCACACGATAATCTTCCTGTAAAATACATTTAAGAATTTTTTGAAAGAATAAAGACATTGTTTAAGTTTTAGTAACAAACCTATCTTTTATATTTTTATTACCTCTCTATCTTTTGGTGGTGGATTTGCTGCGGGTCCAACGAAACCCGTAAGTCTTAGAAATGGTTGGCGATCATCGGCATAGCAACCCTTGGGCTCCTGCCATGACAGTATCTTATTCATCCATCGTGGCTTGATGAATTCACCATAGCCTTGTGAAGCGCAAAAGTATACTGAGAACACGAAATCCGTCATTTAGAATCTTACTGGTATTATAATTCTGAAGAGGTTTATTCTAGTATCTTTAAGTGTACAAATCTCTATAACTACCAGTCAGTCAGTGAGATCTGAACAATTTATTTAAAATTATAAAGCCTAGTTTTCAATAATTAATTCGACTGACGCAATGTTAGTTAGTTAGTTAGCCTTTCTTGAGAAAGCGCGCTGCGACCGTTATTAGCAAAACAATTTTTTTAAATATTAATTACACGAGTCGAACCATGTGCAAAAGCTAGTGTTAAATTAATAAAATTATTATTAATAAATATACCATTCTGAGACATGGTAGATGATGAAGTTCAAAATAAGTGTCAATATTAAGGAACCGAAGCGACGTCAGTACTTATGGGTTAAATAACATGAATGTTTTAAATTAGATAGCTTACTTTGTTGCATAAATAATGTCCTGGTGCCAGCTGGATGATCCCAGGCCTCTAAAGATTTCGTTTCTTTGTAAATCTGTATGCAAAGCTTATAAATATTTGCGGAAAGATCTACTCCTTCCATGCAGTCGAAAATACGCGCCAAAATCATAGCGCGCAGTCGACTGGTCTGTTGAAAGGCAAGGCCAGACCCTTGTATCAGCTGTGTTTGACATTCTGGAGTAAGCTCACAGGTACCATCACTCTGTGTTGTCTGAGTTTCCATCGCAGATATAAGCAGTTGCATCATGCACGCATCTGTATTACCAATGATATCTGTTGCTTTAAAACATTAACGTTTTCTTTTCAGAGCTACTTAAGTCAAGATACTCTTTACTTTTTTACCCGACTGTGGCGAAGCCCAAAGAAGGAACATAATACTATTTTCCTTCGCGAATTTGTTATACTATCTTGTTAGTTCGCTTTTTACGCTGTCGAGATTTTTTTATTTTTGTAATTAATAGAACAAACTTTAAACAATGTTCCGTAGGATACAGCGAACTAACCGTTCCAAATTTCCCGCTGCAGTGATAATTATTTAAAGTAATATAAATTAAAATTTAATTGTAATAACGTTACCTAGTATTTAATTTTATAATATGTATGTTTACATTTTTGATAAATCAATTTAACAAAATATTTTTGTCGCCCTAATTTTTTGTTAAAAAGGGCATGTACAAATATTTAATATATATCACTAGCTGTTTACAGTTTAACTATTTGTAATAAAATGAAAGTCGACTTTTTTATGAAAATTGAGTATACAACACTGTTGTTGGTAAGGTTTTCTGGGTTAAAAGAAAAAGAACCTAAGACGGAACTACGCTTCCTCCCGTCTCGGTTTCCTCACCTTCGACAATACAAATCGGATATGTCACCGAGCTTGAATTTGATACAATGAACCGCATAAAGCGAGTACCTATCTAAACATTTGAACATGCGTAGAAATATTACCGAGTGTAAAGCTGTGATAATCCAGTTGGACGTCATTAAGGTGTATTATAATATAATAGAACCGTTTTGTAACACAATTCATTCTGCAATGCCTTTACGACACGTACAAGGAAACTCCAATATCATTTTTTTTAAAAAGATTAAATTTTATAATACAATTATATTCAAGCCCAGTACATAGTTATAGCTGTATATAACGAATGTAATTATCTACCTGCTGCTTTTCTGGAAGGCATCTTCGTTTTGGCTTCCTGTACATATTGTTCAAAGCTGAAGCGAAAGGGTTTCTGTGTGCCCATTGTGCCGATTGTAAGTGGCTCTAGGAGCAAAGAAAATACTTCCATATTTTCGAAAATTGCTTTGATTACTGTAAAAAATTGAACAGATTATAATTAAGACACAATATTAATTTTATTCATTTTTTTAACCAACTTTACTTAAAAATGTTATGTCCTACATTATCAAAAAATCTGGTACATTTTTACTGACTCTTATAATTTGTGAATCTTCAGAATACATTAAAAAAAAATCATTCTATTAGAATGCTACATTATTCTTGAATAATATAGATAGGTATATGTTAATTCTTACCGTCGTACCAAGCGAGAGAAGCCGGGTGCTAAATTTAGTACCTATCGAATGTTTATTTTAGATGTAAATACTTTAAATTTGCTATGTTTGTTAAGGTTTAAGTTAAAAAAACTCGTTAGTGACGCGATTAATGTGAAAGTTTTACCGCAAATATCTAACGTAATTATCTAGAAACTGCAACAAAAATTATAGGTAGATACTTATATTTTACGTATCATTAGGCATTACTGATAGTGGAATGGAGTATTGTACTAGCATTTCAATATTATAATTAATAGCAAAATTAGTGCATTACAAACAACATTATTATATACGCTTTATAAACTAAATTTAGTAAATTAAGTGTGCTCGTATAGTGATTAAATGATTCTCTTTTTTAACCAAATTGTGAAGCGTTTAAAACGCGAAAGGATCAGCATATAGTTAAAACAATTAAAATTGAACAAAAAAATAAAAAATGGCTGCTACACAAGACACGTATTAACGCTTCTTTTCGACTGTATGTTTTTTTTTGTTTTTGCTCTATTAACCGTTATACATAACAGATAACTATATTATATGTATACGATTTAAAATTCAAATCTATGGTGTATGGTTAATGCTACTTCTTATGGATCTTATAAAGAACTACCATTGCCCGCGGTTCCGCCCGCGTTCAGATTACCAAAAGCCAAATTCTTAGGTATTACATATTAGTATACTCTTACATTGCACTTTTTGTATTTTTTCTCAGAAATGAGACATTTTCCCGTGGTAAAAAATATCCTATATGTTGACGCGGATAACCAGCTATCATCATACCAAATTTCATCAAAATCCATCCAGTGGTTTTTCTGTGATGCGGTAACAGACAAACAGACAAAAATTCTAAAAACTATAGATTCGGTCTCTATATCGATAATAATGTTTATTTCAATAAGATTTTTCAAAAAATATTTAATGTACAGATTCGGCTTAGTTACAATTTTATTATATGTATAGATATATTTTTAAGTAAATCTAGGTACCTATACACAAGTAAGGATAATATTGTAAGGAACCCTCATAGTGCACATTCGACTCGCAATTAACTTATTTATATTACAAGTAATTTTTAAGAAATTCACCGTGGAAAGGAAATGTTTAGTTTTTAATAAAATAAATATGCAATATTTCGCTATCCATTTTCAGAGCTTAAGTTTTTGTTGTTATCCGAAAGTTATTATAATAACATAAAATAACTAAAATAACATAATAAAATTGTTCGGTTCGATTATAAATTATAAAATTCACAAAAAAATGAGTAGAATTGTATGTAATTTTTGCATAATAAACTCCCTGTCATGAATCATACTCATTCATTTATAGTAACTGAATTCCGAGGTCAAGATCTCCAAGGTATAAATCATTTAGAACTCATAGTAACTAAAACAAAAAAGTTTGAAAGTAACAAAATTTGTTAAAAAGTAGTGTTTAAACTTGGTAAATTACACGAGGAAGTTAGTTTTTACCGCTCCTCGGGAAGGTCATGTCTATTTAAAATAAATAATAGAGTGGTCACCTGTGTTCAACATGAAACTTTGCATATTTGTTACCATATCACACTAAACATCTTGACCAATATTCACCATTTGACATTTAGCCCAAGTAAAAGGGCAAGGGATAGTCGTCATACTGCAATCCAAGTAAATGAAATAGATTAAATTATTATTACCTGTTTAATACCTATCACTTTTCATTATAGTTAAGTCGGTCAAGAAAATTACCTTTTACATCAACTTTAATACCTTAGAAAAATAAAACGATCATTATTTATTTGATCGGGGATCTATAATAATAAACGTAGAGATAAAGTTGTTTAGATAGCACAGAATTTTGTGACCTAATATGATCTGGGTGTGTGATGAGTCTGTATATATTTTGGAATATCGCATACATTCCGAGGTCGCGATTATCACATACAGACGATTATATTGACCGTATAGATAGATATTTGTCTCGACGGTAGCGTTCAAAAGTGCAGCATTTAGGCTATAGTGCAACAACGTAAATAGTAAACAGAGCTGTTAATAAAAAGTTATATAAAAAGTATTTATAAAAGTAGTTTTTAATTAAAAATAAAGTTAAACTATTTATACTAGAAAATTTAAAATATAAAGCTAAAAATAGTTTCTATTTTTGTTAATTTGAGTGCGCATATCTTTAGAACTACCACTTTGATTTAAAAAAAAACTTTTTGTTTAGCTTATCATAAATCACGCAATAAACCTTAGACACAAATAATCATATATACCTAAATGAACAATGCGGGCGAAACCGCGGGTAAGAGGTAGTTTTATATAGCACTAAATAGTGATTAGTCTCCACTTAAAAAATATTTCCTCGCAAGATTCCATCGACTGGTGTAACAGACAGGAAGACAACTGGATCGTGCGCGTGCGCCGAATACGATTACGAAAGCCTGCCGAATAAATGCACTTCGCATTTCATGTCTCTCCATACAACTGTCATTTATATAACATGACATTAAAGGATAAGGTAATAAAGTGGAGTCGTGAGTCGTGACTTGTACCTAAGGAGATCAGAGAGAACTCATATTAATTATTAAGATTAACCTAACACTTTGTGCGAATCTAAATTAGGTAATTTTATTAATTTATTACGCTAAATTTTTATAATTAGAATACTTACCTCAATGGTCTAGTGAATAGCGTGTATGGCCGCAGATCCGGAGGTCCTGGGTTAGCTTCCCGGGTAGGGCTAACTTCAGTTATTGAGTTTTGTCTCTGCCGATTCTTCTGTTAAGAAATTCTCAATAACAGACCGGAATTTGGAAGTTAGTGTGACTTCGAAAATATCTGATTAGGTATCTATTCTAAATGAAAACCCAGTTTAGTTATTTTTTTTACATTTGTTTGTGCCTGGAAGTCGTTTTTTTTTAAGTTTTTATTTTCCATTTTTGTGTAGAAGTAATAAGCAGGTAATTATTAAGAAGAACATTTTTAATAACATATTCGATTAAGCAATTTATTTAAAAAATATATTTATTAATGTATTTTAAAACACCGCTCAACCGATTTCGATAAAATTTATAATGGGACCACCTGGGAAGTATATATACCCTTCGAACAAAAAACAATCCAATTTGGTTCAGGCGTCTTCGAGTTATCGGTGAACATACATAAAAAAAGATTGCGACGAATTGAGAAACTTCTCCTTTTTTGAAATCGGTTAAAAATAGGTCCCATCAGACGGTGCGGAAGCAATGAGAACGTTAAAAAGTGTCTCTGCATATATGTAGGTGTACCGATATCCGTGAGGTTTGAACAGTATATATAATTAGTGAGATATTAAAAGAATTAGAGAGCTTATATCTTTACAGACCTTAAAAAGTTCAATTCAGATTTCATTCTCGGTCAATCATCCTCTTAATGCAAAATTTCACGTCTCCCCTTTACTCTGTTACCGCGTGAAAGTAATAACAGAAAACAAGAAACCTACTTTCGTATTTATTTTATTATACAGCCAATATTAACAGCACTGATGGGCACGGGAATCCCTTCAAGGTCACAGGCCAAGGAGATAAGGCCATAGATGGCCAAGGGCGCGTTAAACATGTCTTTCAAAAACTTGCTAGGTTCTCTCAGACATGCAGGTTTCCTCACGATCCCCCCCAACGTGCGTTCACCTTGTCGTGGTGGGGGGGCTCAGTAGTGCCCGGCAACCCAACTTTGTTGGGTTTTAGTGGGTAGTACTGGCTTTGTCGGTGAGTCCCACTGATCGAATTATTTGATAATGATGCATCAAATCATGTTGAAAATAATTCGCACATAAGAATATCATAGGTGTGAGACCAAGAATTTTATTTATTATCTTATATCTTTAAATGAGCAATTCTTGTATATATATATATATATATACATATATAATCTGAATCTCGGAAACGGCTTCAACGATTTTCATGAAATTTAGGACATAGGGGATTTCGGGGCCGATAAATCGATCTTGATTAGTCTTATGTCTGGGAAAATGTTGTTTTCGAATTTTAATGCGGTTTTATTCGCATTATTCCACCCAAAATATGGTCCATAATGCGCACACTCGAATTTAAGCATCATGGTCGAGCGGCCAAGGCGCAAGATTGACAATCATAGGTGTCCGGGTTCGAATCCCGGTTGGATACAAAGGTATAGTTTTTTTTTGATATTTTTTTTGTATTTATCCAAATTTTGTTATTTTTTTTGTTTTTTTTTACATGTGTTTTAGCCAAAAACTCCGAGCGAAGCTCAGTCGCCCAGGTACTATAATATAAAAAGTAAAGATAAATAAATAAAAAAAAACGTTTATGTGTACTTAACGTGCGTAACGTTAGAAATTATACTTCTTTAGCGTAACAGAACAAAAATAGCTAAAGATTTCATCCCGTATGTCACAACTCTCTGTTTTTAAAAGGAATGTAGCTAACTTCATGATGTCGCTTTGAGTTAGCTTCATCATGTCGCTTTTTGGCTGTCGGCAGACGCTTGCATCGTAAACATTTTACTCTCATGTTTTTTCCAAACGTGCCAAAGAAGTATATATCTTTAAAAATAAGTATAATTATGTTTATAATTTATATTTTTCTGTGCATAAAATAACCTGTTAGCATTCAAGTGTTAAATAATTACCTCTGTTAAGCAATGAGACAATCGTCAACTCATGCCGATAATTGATCAACCATACGACTTTTTAAATTATTATTTAATTATTAAAAAAAGTACAAGCTTAGCCTTCTATAAAGTTTCTTGATCCGATATATAAAAGCAAGACATTTTAATCTACTGTGTCCATATTTATTATTCTTGTTGGTCGTTAAATAAAACGTTAAAAATACAAAACATTAATAAATATTACTTTATGAATTAAGACCTAATTATAGTAACTGACGCCGCGCGGCGCTCAGCGGTCACGCTACAGCTATTAAAGATTAGCATTGCTAGAAATCTTTATTCTGGCTAAAATTACATTTTTACTTTAATCTAGTAGTCGAGTAACTATATATTTTGTAACTCAAAAAACAAAAACAAATCTATCCCACGGGAACCGTTCATTTTTCCGGGATAAAAAGTAGCCTATGTGCTATTCTGATGTATGAACTATATTATTGTAAAGTTTCATTAATATCCATTCAGTAGTTTTTGCGTGAAAGAGTAACAAACATCCATCACACAACATACATCTACGAGTATACATCCAGACATCCATACATCCTCATAAACTTTCGCGTTTATTATATTAGTAGGATTTAAATTAAAATACATAGTTGTTGTTACTTGGAACACAACATTGTAAAAGTGGAGTATATATGTTAACGCCTTATTAGAGGCAATCTTGATACTAAAGTAAAATATATACCTACCGTATTCATAGTCCTTGCTACGATATATTAATGTTTTGAAATCAGTGTTGTTTCGAATGCGGTCCATTCTCCTTGTGATATTCTGCAAATTCTCCTTTAGTTTCGCCGGCACTGATTTGTCGAGCTCATTTATAGTATATTCTAGTTGACCTGGAATGTTCGTAATACATTTTTATGCTACTTCCACTATTTATCTATACATATAATAAAATTGTAACTAAGCCGAATCTATACATCAAATATTTTTTGAAAAATCTTATTGAAATAAACATTATTATCGATACAGAGGCCGAATCTATAGATTTTAGAATTTTTCTTCTGTCTGTCTATTACCACATCACAGAAAAACCACCGGACGGATTTTGGTGAAATTTGGTATGATGATAGCTGGTTATCCGGGTCAACATATAGGATACTTTTTACCGCAGGAAAATGTCTCATTTCTGAGAAAAAATACAAAAACTGCAACGTAAGAGTACGTAAAACCTAAGAATTTGGTTTTGTGTCATCTGAACGCGGGCGGAGCCGAGGGCAATGCTAGTAAATAAATATTTTGGGACATTCACACACATCACCATCTAGTTCCATAGTAAGCTGTGAGGCTTGTGTTATGGATACCCTGGTAGTTGATACATTACATATATAACTTTAAATACCTACATTTATTATAAATATGAACATCCATGACTGAAGTACAAACATTCGTGCTCATCACACAAATGTATGCCACCCGTCACCATGCTCGAATCTAAGTGTCCATGTCAAAGTAATTTATAGAAATAAAATTAATTAAACAAATAATAAAATTAATTAAAAAAATTATAACTTACCTACTGTGTTTGAATAAGCCTTTAGAATAAAACTATCTCTACTTTCTATCTACCTAGTAGGTAAGTACAGTCCGATTCAACGACAAAGTACACGAACACACATTCATTTAATTACATAATCTAAATATATTTAATAAATATATCTATCAATATCCTAATACTTGAAGTTAGTAGTTTTACGTTTGCTTTTTCTCCCGGAAAAAGAAAGGTTACAGAAATTGCATCATCGTTGAATATTCTGTCATTACACGCCATGCGGAAGCTACTACATAATATATTTTATTGTGAATAGGCATAAATATCGTTCAATAGCTGTTTCATAATTTCATATACATATTATGATTTATACCGAGACAATAAAGAGTTCCCGTAGGATGACTTGTTGTTTTGTGATGAAAAAAATGACGTATACTACTTTATCCCTATGGTTCGGTATATAGTACATATATGTAGGTAATACAAACTTTTTTTCATATTAGAAATTCGGCTATTTCATAAAGAATAAAGGTGAAATATCTTGTATTAAATGTTAATTTTCTGTTAAATTGTAGCACATTAATAGTATATACAGTTGGCAAACTGTAATCGAAAATAATTATATATAGTAGTTAGTATTCATGAGAAAATCAAAAAAAAATTACCTCTCGCCAAACCTAAGGCGATATACCATTCTGGATCCTTTGACATTTTTTTCTCATAATATTCCAATAATTTATCCAGTGTAATTGAGATTCTGAATACTTTTGGTACATTATAAATAAAGTCTTGTGTATCAAAATACGGATATATTGCAAATGAAAGTGCAAGGCATGTTGCTAAAACAACAATTCTCACAAACATTTTGTGCTATATTAAAGGTATAAAATAAAAGTAAACTAACGGCAACAACACGGCACCAATTGATTGGTGTATCGGCCTATAAACTTTCTATCGCATAGTATAATTACACGATACTAAAATAACGAAACGAGAAACCATGCTTGGAAATTTGCAGAATGAAATATTAATTGCTTTACCATTAATTGTGAACTAAAAACCTAACAGTGTAACCATTAATGTAAGCTGTTATTAAATTAAGTTATACTCGTATTACCCTTTTTGTTTCTAATGGAATTAATTTGGCGTGCAGACTAAAACTAAATCGGTAATGCAAAATATCAAAAACATATGTTTAAGATAAATAAACTAATAATAAAATTCTTAGGAAATAGAGTATCGATCTATTTTATTTATAGATAATAAATATTCTTCTTTCTAACCCAGGTAGGGATTAGTAATCAACAATGGTTTCTTAATTTCAAATGAATAATTTATCTGATATTTGCAACATCAATCTCTCCCGTGACCATGGATGCTGTAAAGCATTCGAAACGTCGGGAAACAAAAATCAAAATAAATCCGCGAAATAATCCGAAAAGATAGTTTTATTTAATAATGTCAAACATTCGCGTAAATCTAAGAAAGTATTATCTAACTAATTAATCTACAAAGGAACATTCTGAAAGTCTTGATAAATTGATTTTCGGTATCATAATCATGGACAAATATTACCTCATGGAGTCGTGCTCTTAATGATAATACACGAAACGCTTGGCACGTTTCACATTACGAGTAGCACAGCGATTGTCTTAAATGTTTCACAAAAAATAACGTCGATTTGTTTCAATTCATTGAGAATAAAGTTTAAATTACCGTACTTATCATCATTGAAATCATTATGATGTGTAAGATCATGTTATGCAAATTATTACAAAAGCTCTTTAACTTTAATTGAAACCCGTAGTTACTATAAAGTAGCCATTAAACGTTGATGAAGTTAAAGCGTCCTTCCTTTGGTGTTGATATTTTTTGGAAAAAGCTCTATCCAAGTTTAGGGCAGTTAAATTTGTTAACATTTCGTAGAGTTGAAAGTTAATATGTTTCGATGATGAATTTTGACAGTAAATGCACGGTAATGTAATGCGTTACCGTGGTAAATGTTAACATCGACACTTTATAAAATAAATGTAACTTTTTTTGTTTGTTTATTGGTAACGTTAACCGAACTCATCCACCGCACCGGTGCGATGAAACTTTGGTGAATTAAATGTTGTGTATACACTTTTGAAAGCCTCTGGTATACTCGTCTCAATCTGTATCAACATACTATAGTCAGCGCGATCCTCATATTAATTTGAGATTATACAATTATTAAGTAAGATAACTGATAAGTGTTTAATGTGTGTACGTATCTGTGTGATTCAAGTATTTTATATTAAAAATCTTGTAAGCCACGTATTCTCAAACTTTAGTAGATACTAATTATAATTCTTAATTACAGTTACCAATTTAATACGTTGCATGGCAAAGACGTTTTAACTTAACTATATGCACCTATAATCAACGACTCACTTTCGCTTCGCTCGGGTTTGTCCCTAAGTACGTTTTAACGGTTAGTATGGAATAGAGAGACTGTAAATTACGAGTATACATAGGTACTAAATAAACAGTTTTAAATTTTTCGATTTTCCAGATGGTTTTTTATACTTAAACTACGCCTGACACATCCCCAACAAAACAAAAAAAGAATTATTCAAATCGGTCCAGCCATTTTTGAGTTTTAGCGAGACTATCGAACGGTAATTGATTTTTGTATAGGTACGAGTATATAGATAATAATAGATAATATACTATATTTGTTATAATGCATAGAAAATCTACCCTGTCATTTGGTCTGAAATCGTGTCACCTACGTTAATAGTTAAGTATTATATATAAATATACACTTTCAAATGTAAAGGGAATGATCTAATTACTGTACAGTGTGCATACGAGTATATCTACTACCATATTTATATTGTCATTAAGCATAAATTGTTTGTTCAGTAGTAATAATAAACATTAGCAAAGCTGCAGTCATAAACGAACACGGAATTTTGAAATCTATGGCGAGTGCACAGTATAAATGGATAACTTAATTATCATCATCAACAACTTATAAGAATCAAGTACAAACATATTAAATATACAATAAAAATTTCCACTGCTCCTTGGCGATTACGATATGAACACTTTCTTCGTTTTCATTGGCAAATGAATTGTTAATTAGTAATTTAATGAGATACATAAGGTCAGTAAGTAGTGTCACCGAGCCAGTTCTCTGTACTCTCACTCATAAGTATGTTGCAGATGGTTTTAAATGATAGGGAAAAAATTAAACACTTTAGATTATATTATTGATACTTAATGTTAAAAGTAATTAAAATTAATTAAACGTATATTGTTATATGCTATATGCAGATGTACTCGTATAGTCTGACAAAGTTTTATGTAATGGATGCTATGCTGTTAATAAATGCAACAAATAACTTTATCGTCATTTTGTTTAACAATGGCATATTTAAAATTTCGTCTTTTTATACAATTTCTTCTTGTCTGTTTGTTCGTACATATTTCAGAGCAAATTTTACTGGGAGACTATTTATAGCTAGGAGATCCCGCGGCTTTGCTTGCGCTAAAACTATAAAAAAAATTACAGACAAATGTGAGTCGGACTCGCCCACGGAAATCTGTTTAACTTTAATTTTCAAATATTTTTTTCGTAATTCTTCCTTTATTTGTGCTGCTCCTTGCTTTTTGCCAAATTTCGTGATTGTAGGTCAACGGGAACTACCATATAGGTTTTCGACGCAAAACCTATAGGGTACTTCCGGTTGACCTAGAATTGTCAATTTTGGTTAAAAGCAGGCTCTTATAGCACAAGTAAAAAGAAGATTCCGAAATTTAAAAAAAAAACAGTTGAAAATTCAGGTAAATTTTGGTACTTAAAAGTTTTCACGAAAATCTACGTCCAACGAAAATCTTTGTCCATATCTTTTTATCGTGTTGACTCAGGACACTTTATTTTTATACACCCAATAAAAATGTCTAGGTACACCCGTTCCTAAGAAAATCAGTGGTGACACACGGATAGACAGGCGGACAAGAGAGTGATCTTATAATGGTTCCTTTTTTTACCTATTGAGGTACGGAACCCTAAAAAACTCTCGGCTTTATGAAAAAGGTACTTTTGAAATGAGTTAATAGTTTCTGAGCTTAAAGCATTAAAACATAATATTATAAACATGTGTTATAATAATATATGGAAGTGTGCCCGATTTGTTTACATTTATGATTATGGCTCCGCTACTTTGGTAGTAACATGATGTTATATAGCATATAGCCTTCCTTAATAAACGGGCTATTTAATTCAAAAAGTTTTTTTTATTGGTATTAGTAGTTCCTGAGATTAACGCGTTCAAACAAACAAACTAACGAACGAACGAACCAATGGACGGACGAACGAACGAACCAATAAACGAACGAATGAACAAACAAATAAACAAACAAACAAAGTCAGTCTCTTTATAATATTAATATAGATGAATAAGTAAAAGAAATTTCGCCTTTTAGATATCGGTTCAGGATTAAATAATTAAATAACAAAGAATAATAAAGTTAATTTGCACAGAGGGAGATGACAATCTAGCGTATATTATATTTTCTTTAATAAGTATATACATATGTAAATGGCAAGCCTTATGTTGGTTAGTAGACATTATTATGCTCGGCACTTATAATTTTTTTCTCGAAATAACTATTATTTCAGACAAGTACGTATACATACTGCGTATTTTTAAAATATCTTCTTGTCTATTGTAACTCATGAAATATTTTTGATTGAGAATTGTGCTGGACAATAGTTACAAGTATGCTCTATGACTTATGTCATATTTACTTTTCATCTAAGTTTAACGTTTCATTTGAGATAATATATTTTCGAAAAACTTATGTGTTAATTTGCGTCGACAACTTATTGTGTCGTCTTCTGTTTGCAGCGTGCATTGAAGGTCATACGCTTCCAATTCTTATTAGGACACCCAACTGTAAAACTCTACAAATTAACACTGGGTCTGACCTTTAGTAGTGAAAGACCTTTTTAAAAGGCCTCGTAAAGATTTGCGGCTTGGAGCCTCGCACTAGTTAGGGCCACCGCAGTATATTCAAAATTATTTTAATGTTAAATCATCGAGTAATGAAATTTTAACTTTTAAGTTATAGAATTAAGGCATACCAATTGAATAGAATAAAACCGTTTAGTGCGATAGTTTCGGTAAATACAAGCAGATACGTATATTTTAATATACAAACATCTAACTAAATAAATAACTAAGACGCGTGAAATATTAAAACTTATTTGATAAGACAAACTTACGCTTTCCACTATTAAATATAAGGACCCATTTTATAGGAAAAACCCTCAACGGACTATTTCAAGTAAAGATTTAAGATCGGGTTTAGTTTTGAGAAAGTTTATTTTTCAATTTGCCAATTAAAAACCTCCTTATAAATTTAAAAGTTTTTATGTATACCTACCATTTTTATGTATATTATATATTTACCTTACTGCCAATAGATATGGTTTTACTAGAGTTCAGTAAAATTACGTAAAGTAATTTTAAGCTTGAATTAGGAAAAATCTATAGACACCGAAAGCTTCTAAATTAAAAAGTACATATATACAATATTCTATACCTCGGTGGTGTAGTGGCTAGCATGTACAGCTGCACACCCGGAGATCCTGGGTTCGAGCCCCGGGTCGGACAAAGTTTAGTTATTGAGTCTTTTGTATATTGAGCCTCAGTAACAGCCCGGAGTTGGGAAGTTTT